TTTTCGAACCTTCTGAATTGTTAAGGCTATATTTACGCTATTTTGTAAATCATCAATAAACGTAACGCCTGTTGAGCTGTGTGACTTATCATTACAGTCAAATACATCATCAAACTCGTCGTAATCACTCAAATTTTCATCGGAATCTTGAAACTGCGATTCAAATTCAATATATTTTGCTGAAGAGTCTGACTTTTTGTAAAGAACATCACATACTGCCAAATGAAGTCCGTGGGCATAACACAGCTGATGTTCAATACCACTTAGCCGTCCAAATTTTTTCATTACGGATGCTCCGTCAGTGACACTAGCTATGATGTGCTTTTTAATTGATAAACTGAAATCTGACAGTTTATTTTCAACTAGATCAACAATTTTTTCTGCAGGAAGTGATCCAGCTATCGGAGTCATTCCCAGGTTCCAAAACTTTGTTGATAAGTGTAAATTTACATTTAAATAACGTCGATTTTTTAAAGACGTATATTCGTCTAACGATAAAGAAAATCGCGACCCGCTAGAAATTTCTTTTGTTATCTCTAAAACCACAGTTTGTCTAGCTAATTCATATTGTTTTTTTATCATACCCATAACATGGGATGGATTTTTTGGTAATAACATGCCTTTTTCAGACAATGATTTTCTAATGAATTCACTTTTTGTTATGGCATTTATTGAGAAGCCATCCACCGTTGCTAGCTTTGACACAATTTCCTCGATAGTCTGCTTTTTAACAAACAATGTTATTTTCTTTTGAACAATTTTATTTTCCGAACCAGTATCTTCAAGTAGACGCTTCATATTTAGATCCAAATCTTTATGTGTGTTTTTTAAATGACGTAGGAGCCCACTGGTCGAAAATCCTTTGCACATTATCTTTACATTGCACTTTTTGCAAATTGCAGATTCGCCAGATTTTTCTTTACAAAAATACTGCCATGCTTTGGATCCATTTACAATTGACATAGTATAACTAAATTGAATCGCAGAACAACTAAAAGTAAAGTTACAAATATTTCTTACATATGTATGTTATCTTACGTATGACTTTTATGTGTTTGTTTGCCGTTTTTTAAATACAAAAATTATTAAATATTTCAATAATTTGATACAGAAAAAGTTTAACTTTTCAATAATTTAGAAGTTTAAAAATTAAACTTACTGTTTTCGTCGCAAGAAATCTTTTTTATTTTTTACTCATATTTTATAATAATGAGAAAAAAGAAAACATTGCATTGCAATGCATTTCTTTTTAGTTTAAGATAGTTTCAATAGCATTTCTTGTTGTGCTAGGTTTTAATATAAGGTATGAACACATAAAACACAACTAAATGCAATAATATTTTTCTTATTTTTGGTCGAATTAGTTCAAAGTTATCATATGTAAAATTATTTTAAAAAAAATTATATTCCGGGATATAAGAGTGATATCCCGGGAAATCCCGCTGCCACTTTTATCCCCGGGATCCCGGGAAAACGGGATCCCGTTTGAGAAACCCTAACTGAAACAGTTTTGAAGTGTTGAGCAATTTTTTTTTTCTCTAAATAAAACTGAGATTATATTTTACTGAAACCGTATGAGCAAGTAATTAATTATTTTTATTAATTATAAGTAATTAATTACTTGAGCAATGCAATAGCAATAAATGTGAAATTATTTGTAAGAAAAACATGTTAAGATTGAAAAAATTTTTTCAATTTTAACATGTTTTGTAATTTACACACATTTTCAAAAGATAAAATTACAATTAAAACTCTGCAATATAAAATTACAGATCTCTGTAATGTCTTCAAATTTTGATTTTATATTCCAGAGTATAAATTGTAATTTTATCTTTTGAAAATGTAGTGTGTAAACTACGAAACATGCTAAGATTGAAAAATATCATGTTTTTCATACAAATAAGCAATTAATTATTTCGGAAAAAACTTATTTAGGTTTTTTCCGAAACTGTAACGAAGTATCACTAAAAGATATTTTTTACAGAAAAATTTAGTAACAAACTTTATGGCATGAAGAACGTTACAAAGAAGAACATTTTTTCTATATTTAAAAAATACAGGAAGGTAGGGGGAGGGGCAAGTGCCCCCTCTTGCCCCCCTTGCGGGCACCCATATATATATATATATATATATATATATATATATATATATATATATATATATATATATATATATATATATATATATATATATATATATATATATATCATATACAGCTCATAAAAATTATAAAATAAAATTTTTTTGTAACGTTAGAAACAGTTTAAAATTAACTGACGTCAGCAGTTGAATGGCTTCGTTTTTGCTTACGTAAAAATGTAAAAAACGGAGTCCAAAATTTAGCTTTCACAAACTGCCCGTTATCTAAATTAATTCCACCATGAATAGGTGAACATTAGAACCTCTGTATTTCAAGAGCTTCGCGCTCTTTTCGTTCAAATTTTTTTGTTTCAACTTTAATTGTTTTTACGTTTTTCCACTTTATTTCTTGTGAGCAAAACTTATTATGGGTGGCTATTGCAGATTGATACTGTTTCCCCTCCTTTAAACTTTTTAGATGTTGTTGAGTCCGAGTCCTAATTTAAAGTTTAGCTTCGCCTACGTATCTCTTTGAGCATATGCATTCAATCAAATAAGTTCCAGGTTGACTATTTTGTGGTAATTTAGTTTTGTTTTTTGACCTCAGTAATGTTTTTAAATCTGGATTTGATTTGAAGACTACTCTATAGCCAGCTTTCCGTAATATTTTCCTTAGTTTTTAGGATAGCGATGGTATCCATGGCAACGATACAGTAGGGATGTTAAGAGTGTCAGATTGAATTTTATTGATTTTTAGAGACCGTTAATTTCCAATTAATTTTGAAATCCGTTTAAGTTAGTATATGTTGTACCCATTATCGTTAAACATTTGAATAAGTAAATTAATCTCATCTTGTAAATATAAATTACTGCATAAAAAATAAGCCCTGTGAACGTAATCTTTAAATATTGCGTTTAGAAACTTAGGGTCATGATTTGAGTAATGTTTAATTTGGATATTAGTTTTGGCTTCCTTTCTGTAAACTTAAACTGGCGGTAGTTATGCATATTTTAAACTGGCGGTAGTTATGCATATTTTGGAATACAGGCAGGTATTATGAATATATTTTCCCACTTAGAAATAATAGAATCGGTTTTTTTGAATTTTAATATTTAAGGGTTACCATTGTTTAAATCGTCTAGTAAACAATTGTGGCCAATATTAGCTTGCTTTGATTGTTTTGATATTTTCATTGTTGCCATTTATTGTGGTGAAACCAAGCCTGATTCAGTAATTGATTACTTAATGGATTTTGTTTTTGAGTTAAGGCAATTATTACAAAATGGCTTTGTATACAATGGAAAACATATAAATGTAACTGTTAAATCATTCTTGTGTGATGCTCCAGCAAGATCATTTTTAAAAGGTATTACATCTCACAATGGTTACGACTCGTGTGAAAGGTGTTCCATTCACGGAACGTGGACAGAAGGCAGAGTTGTGTTTAATGAAGAAATTGTCTACCCACCTAGAGATGATAGTATTTACAGATCATTTGGATATAAAGGTCATCAAAAAATAATTTCTCCCCTTATTGAAATAGGTTTAAATGTTGTTGAAATGTTTCCATTAGACTATATGCATCTTGTATGTTTAGGAACTGTTCGTAGACTACTACATTTTTTAAAAAATGGCCCATGTGGAAAAATATCTGCATGTCAAATAAGTGAAGTTTCAAATTTACTATTAACATTTAATGCATACATGCCCAGCGAATTTGCTCGTTGCCCACGTGGCCTTCAAGATATGGACCGATGGAAAGCAACAGAGTTTCGACAGTTTATTTTATACACTGGCCCAGTTGTTTTGCGTTCAATTTTGTCAGATATTGCATATAATCATTTTTTGGCATTAAGTGTTTCCGTAAGTATTCTATTACAGGACAATGACAAAATACGTAGAATATGCTCGTAAACTTATCAAACATTTTGTATATAATTGCAAAAACATTTATGGACCCACATTCACTGTTTATAACATTCATCATCTGCTACATTTACCAGATGACTGTTTATATCATAATTGCTCATTGGATTTAATATCATGTTTTAAATATGAAAATTTTTTGCAAAGGTTAAAAAAATCCATTAGAAATTCTGCTAATCCAATTGCTCAAGTGGCAAAGCGACAAGCTGAATTTCAAAATGCTTTTGTATCATTACCTAAGAAAACTTTGTATACCAAGATATCAAATGAAAGTAAAGATAATTGTTTTTTAATTCAAGGTAATGATGTGGCTTTTGTAAAAGAATACATAGATAGTGATTCGTTTTTGTGCGATGTTGTCAAGGCAAGGTACCTGGACAATTTTTATGATTTTCCAATGAACTCATTAGAGTTGAATATTGCAATCTTTCCTAATCGAAATAAAAGAAAACTAAAAAGACAAATTCTTCAAAAAGATGATTTCCTTAAAAAGTGCGTCTGTCTACCGGAACAACGTGGTTTTGCAATTTTTCCATTGCTGCATGAAAATGAAAGAGTTTAGACTTTGTTTTTGTTTATTATATTTTCATACATTTGTTGTTTTTGAACAAAAAAAATTCCTCTTATTTCACATATAAATAATATTTTAAAGGATTATAATTTTTTACTTTATATTTTTATTACTATTTATGTGTGTCAGAAGTATTTTTAAGTTTGTTATTGTTTTATTAGATTTTATTTTTTTAAAATTAAAATTATAAATCTGGTCACTTTCTAATTAACATTATTTAAGATAAAATAAAATTTGAATCCACTTAAGATCTTGTGAGTTAACTTGATTAACTTTTTAGTTTTTTAGTCCTAGTTAACTTTTAATATATGTAAAATATGATTTTTTCCTTCTATTTTGACTTTTTTTTTAAATTTCACTTGAGTTTTTATAAATTCTAAATCTAAATATCTAAATATATCAAAAATCTAAACATATCATTGTAAATATACTTATAGCTAGTGTAGTAAGTACTTATGTCTTGGTGTCGAGCTGTATGGCAAGAACATGAACTTGAAGAAGAAGGTGTTATTCCATCATGTTGGGTAGATAGTTAGTTTGTGTATTGGCCATCAAAAATGAATGTTTTATCTGCTGCAAAGGAACATGCTAAGCCTGATGCAACTTGGCATAAGTTCAAAATACTGAAAGTGAAGTGCTATGATGGCAAGTGATGCTTTTTTAAATTACATTCTAAATGTATTAAAATACAAATGTGTTTATTTTCAATATATTGTTTATTTTATTTTAGATGATAAGGAGTTATGTAAAAGTTACGAGCTTTCGTCGAATGACGAAGTACAAGCACTAAATAAGAATGAACCCATTAAAAAAGAGAATAAAATAATGAAGTATACTTTAAAAAAAGCAGCAAGTAGCACCTGTAAGATTAATCAAGTTTTTTTTGAATATTAAAAAAAACAATCTATAAGTTGCTTTACTTACAATATTATTTAGATAATTGTTTAGAAATTTTCTATTTTTTGGCATTTCATAAAATAAAGTGTTATAGCCATAATTTTTTTTTAATAAAATTATTTTGTTAGTAACTTATCCTACTCCTTTACAATTTGAAGCTTCTCAAAAAAAATTTGAAGCTCCTCCTAAACGATTCAAGAAATTGGAGGAAACAGACACAGGGAAATCAACTTTAACTTTTCCTTTAAAAGATATGTGTAAGAAATTTAGCTATTTAGTTTTATTCTATCAAAATACTAAATATTTTTTGTTGATATTAGGATTTATATTTATTATTTGAAAAAATTTGTTTTTTTAGCAACTTATACAACTCCAAAATGTGATGATAAAGGTATATTTTTTTTTGTAAATATTGTCTTTTGTTTTATGGAAATTAAATGGTATTAGATTTTATTATTTAGTAACAAAATAAGTTTTAATATGTAGTCATTTATTGGCATGATTTTTTTTATATCAGTGTTTTATTTTTAGTTAAAAATGAGTTATATGAGAGTTTTAAACTTTCCTCAAATAATGAGATAGAGTTTAAAATTGAACAAAGAAATAAAAATAATCAAATTATAAATGCTTATGCAAAGAAAGCTAGCAACACCTGTAAGAGAAATATTTAATTTATTCTTTCAACGTTATTTAATTAAAAAATTTTTTTTTCAGAATGTTTTTTTTAAATAAGTTTTTTTATTATTAACAATTTAATTTTATGCATTTGCCTGATATATTTTTTTAGTAACAACTTCTCTATTTCATCCAACTCCTCCAAAGTTTGAAAATCCATTAATAGATGTTCTTCCCCCCCCAAAAAAAAAAATTAAGATATTAAAGGAACCAGTCCGAAAATCTTCAAGTTTTTTAAAAGATAAATGTAAGTTTCTTTTTTTTCTGTTGCAGTACTGGACTAAAACAATTTTTAACATTTAGTGCTTTTGTATTTGTTTCTTTATTCTCAAATAAAAGTATGTTAGTTTTGTTTATTACTCCACAAAGTAGTTCGAAAATCAACTCAGCAAGAAAAGAAGAAGGCTTCAGTTTTTCCTTTAGAAGAAGGAAGTTAGTATATATTGTATAAAAAAAGTATGTATAAAAAATAGCATAAGAAATATAAAGATTTTTAGTTTTAATTTTTTAATTACTTAATATACAGACTTTCAATATAAAGTCATTCATTTACTGACTGAATTGAAAAATGATGTTGCTGATATAAAAGCCATGTTAAAAAATGAAAATAGTTTTGATCTTCATCAATGTAATTCTATCCAGGAGTTTCATGACTTTGATCAATCACTTCTGGATCAAGATATTGCAAAAAATGTGGTAAATTTTTGTTATTATGTTTAAATGTTTTATTTTGATTTTTTTATATTACAATCATTTGTGTTTATTGAAATTTTAATTATACACAAGTTTCTCACTTTACACATACACACAGGGGTGTAATCTCATAGTTGACTAAGTGAATTAATTCTCAACTGACCTAAACAAGACTAGAGCAATATTTTAGTTGCTGTAGAGGCGAATGGATAAAAAAACTGAGGTTACACCCCTGACACTCAGTTACATAATGTTTGCAAAATGATCAAAACGTTAGTAAATTGCTCATGTGCAATATTATACTTGTGGTATCTTATTAATTTAGAAACAGAAATTATCTAACATCGGTGGCTTAACATGTAGTGCTATTGCAAAGGGTATGCTTTCAAAGTAAGAAATTTGATTATGAAAAATGCATTTTTAATGCGTTCACACACACACACACACACACACACACACACACACACACACACACACACACTTACGAATATATATATAATCTTTTCGTTTTAGAGTGATGTCAAATAAAGTTATGAGTTTTTAAGATGGCTGAAACAAATAAGCTTAGTTTCAGAAAGACCAATCTGATGAAGATTTTGTGTGGTATTAAGTTATTATAATCAGCAATTATTGCTTAAGTTTAAAGTTTTGTTAAAGATATTTATTTTTTATGATTTTTGCCTGAAATAATATGAAAGGTATTTATCATTACTTTTACAATATATATATATATATATATATATATATATATATATATATATATATATATATATATATATATATATATATATATATATATATATATATATATATATATATATATATTTTTTGCGTTTAAGACTGTTTACCTGATTCGTACAGCGAAAAAGACCTTCAAAATGCTGTTGGAAGTATTTTAAAACATGCACCTGACAGAAAAGAGGGCGGAGGACGCCAAAAGTCAATTTTTGGATACGAGCAAGAGGAAGAATAAGATTTTTAAAAATAATAATATATATAAATTCTTTGCAAAAACAAATTAAAAAGTTCGTACTTATTGTTGTATGAATTTTTATTTTCTTTCCTATTTTTAAGAAATAATGTGAAAACATAAATTTCAACCTAAGGAAATCAAGCAGTTAAGTTATCCAATAAATAATTGTTGACAACTTACTTACGTTAGTGAATTTGCGTCTTTTAGACGTCCTAAGAGGACGTCTCAATTTTGTCATAAAAAGACGTCATTTGGCGTTGCCATTTAGAACCAATTCTGAACGTCCTAATAAAGTCGCAAAAAGATGTCTTATTTACGTCTTAAAAAGACGTCCTAGTTAAGTCCTAAAAAGACGTCATCTGGCGTTGCCATTTAGAAACGGTCCTGAACGTCCTAAAAGAACGTCTTTTCGATGTCAAATAGACGTCGGCGTGCCTACTGGGTATGAGTTATTTTGTTTCAGATATAGTAAGTTTGGTAGAACATTTGTAGGAATCATCTTTATTTATTTGGTCTGTGAGAACTAAAGTGGGTTTCTTTAGTGGTATTGATGGATACAAGTTTATTACATGAAATGAAACTTGAACCTCATTTTTGTCAATCTCCCATGAATTCGCTTTACTAATAAAATCAAAAGAATTTTTCAGACGTGTTTGGTTTTTGTTTAAGACAGGTTGTATTTTCTTTACCAAATAGTTCGTTATTCCATAATTAGGAGTGCCGATAGTTGATACAACTATTCTCAAAGGATAAGATTTTTCAGGTTTGTGAGCTTTAATTAGACCATACATACGAGGCGGGATGCTATCACTTAGATATATACTGTCTTATTCCGTTTTTGAAAATCGTTGTTTTTTATTAAGTTGTGATAAATAAGTTTTAATTTTAATAGCATAACTAGATGAAGGATCTTCAATTAAAATTCTTTTTAGGCCAATTTGTTTGCGAGTTTTTTCCAAAGCTTTATCGTGTTCTATTCTTACAAAACCATTACCCTTATCAAACGGATATATATCAATAATTTTGTTTTTCTAAATTTCCATAAGAGCTTTTCTTTGTTCTCTTGTTAAATTTTGATTTTTTTTTTACCCATTTTAAGTCGTACTTGCAGAATCATTTTTACAACATCATGAACAAAACGCTTTCAAAATTTCAATGGCAGTAAATCCTCTTTGGTTTTTTTTGGGGGTTTTAAATAATATGATTTATCGCTTTAGACACACCTTGTACAAACTTAAAATTTTTTAAATTATGGTTTGATTCAAATAAAAGCTTTTATTCTCTTTTTTTTAAAGCTAGTATTTAAGCCTCGGGCATTTTAAATTCTCGTGAGAATGAGAGCAAAAATTCAAAATTCTCATTTTTACATTTTTCACTCAACGGTATTGAGGGCAGTTTTTTTTTGACATTTTATTTATTAATATACATTTATAATAGCTTATCTTACTTTTTTAATAAAATTTCGTTTATACTAATCAATTTCGAAAATAAGAGTTTGTTTAGGGAAGATCCTAATAAGGATTCGGTTGGGGCACAATCATGGCTAGCCTTAAGTCGACATGAGTTTTGTGGAATTTTAAAAATTGAAAGAAAAATATTTTACGTAATGATTTTTGTAAATGCGCTGAACAGTGACTCAAAACAATAAAAAAATGGCAATAAACCCCTCACCACCTTTTTATAAATGAAGTGCCCTTTATTAGATAATATTAAAAGACAATGATTTTTATTTCAAAAGTAAAAATAATTTTTTCCTAAAGCTTTCATTTGTATTTTATAGGTAAAAAAAGTGATATTATTTTTAAAGAAATCTGAAAAATGCGAGGTTTTTATTCAACTAAATTAGAGAACTTGAAATTTAAATAAAAGTGTATATTTATTTTTAAAATAATACTTTGACTCTATATATTTCAAATATACTAATAAGAAGAAAGAAAGTCTGATTTTTTCTTTTAAATTTAAAGACCTCTAAAAAAAGTAGAAAATAAATGTATTTTTTTTGTTTATATATCAGCTAAAAAAATGTTTCACCGAGTTCCACAAATATATATATATATATATATATATATATATATATATATATATATATATATATATATATATATATATATATATATATATATATATATATATATATATATATATATATATATATATATATATATATATATATATATATATATATATATATATATATATATATATATATATATATATATATATATATATATATATATATATATATATATATATATATATATATATATATATATATATATATATATATACCTTTCCAGTTAATTAACATTTCTACTTTAGGAATGTAAAAGGATTACTGTGGTCTCCTGCGGTATTGGATGTTATTAAAGAAAAACAAATGTTGATGCTTTTATAAAAACCTTGTTTTTCGCCATTTTGCTAAGAACTTTATTATATCAAAACAAATGAAATTGCCGGGAAACTTAAAGTTAAGTTTCTTGCTTGTAGAACTTGTTCTAATATAGTTTTTAAATGATAAATATTAAATATAGTTTTAAAAAACGTGCTTTTGTCATTATATACTATTTAAAAGTTTGTTTAAATATATATTGACAATTTTAAAGAAAGATTTTGTATTTGATAAGTATAACATGTTTGAAAAAGCTTAAATGAACATCTTTGGTACTTCCCGTTTCAAGAAATACCAAATTGTTACATCCTGTAATAACACATATTACTTAGTTAACTTAATATTACATGTAATATAAAGTTAACTAAGTAATATGTGTTATTACAGGATGTAACAATGTAAAAATTGTTAAAAGTCATAACAAGATAAAATTTGAAACACTGTAAAGTAAAAAAATATGTAATGTAATTTAAAATGTGTCTAATATATTAGTTTTGTTATATTGATGGTTCTTAAAAACGATAACAATGAAAAGATTAGATCTTATCCCAATTATACGTGAATAAGGAGTTGATAAACTAAAATTATGGAAGAATTTACCTAATGAAATAAAAAATACTGAAACAATTCGCAAAGAAAACTTAAATAAAGTTAAGCTTGCTTTAGTTATATTTATTTCAAAGGCGAGGAAAAAACTAAAACAATGTGGACGAATCTATGATAATTTATACAAAAAGAAAATCGTCGGCTTAAAAGAAATCTTATAAACAATAAAAATAGTCATTTTGGTTCTGAAAGGCCCCATAAACAATGGAGTGTTCTATGAAAGAAAAGCAAAAGAAAAAAAATAAAAGAACTAGCCACTGAACATCATGAAGGTCTATTTTTAGCTTCTGCAAAAAGTGCAAATGCTGCTGGAGAAAAAAAAAAGCCTCTGTTTTAAAAAACAATATATCTAATGTTTTAGAGATAGAAAAAGTTCATAAAACTTTGGATAAAACCTTTCCCATTAATATGAGTGTAGAGGATGCTCTTGCATTAAAAATGAATACTGATCTCAGCGATAAACAACATCAAATGATCAGAAACTCAGCTCTTATAGACAACGTACGTATTTATCTACCTTGCACGATATTTTCGTGGAAAAATTGAAATGCTATCCTGATAATATACATTTTTCTGAAATTTCTGCAAAGTGTACTTGTACTCTTCAAAGCATGTTAGATCACACTGTGAGTAGAATAACAGAAATGATTGATATGACTAATTTTGGTCAAAGTGATGAAATACTTGGAGTTTTATATGGAAAGATTGGATTTGATGGAGCATCAAGCCAAAATATTTATAAACAGAAATACGATACAAGCAACGCAAATATATAACTTAAGCATGAAGAAAATCTTTTCAGTACAGCTTTTGTGCCTTTATTGCTCAAAGTAGAAGATGGCGAAAATTGGAAAAATGAAAACCCTTCAAGCTGTCACTTTTGTAGACCTCTTCATCTAAAATATAAAAAAGAGAGTCCAGTTTTATCCAGAGAAGAAGAATCAGATCTAAAAAATTATATAAATACCTTAAAAACGTTTTGCAAAGTTTTTAATAATGCAGGAAGAATTTTGACATTTAATATCAGCTATAAGATTGATCTTACAATGTTTGGTAATAAAGTAGTTAGCGCACTTACAGAGACAAAATCCACTCAATCCTGCAATGTGTGCAATGCTAAACCCAAGGAAATGAACAATATTGATTCATTAAAAGCAAAAACTGAGAATGACTCAGCCTTGGCGCTCGAAATTTCAGCTTTGCATTGTTGGATAAAATGCTTGGAGTTCATTCTTCATTTTAGTTATAAAATTGAAATTAAAAAGTATAAGCCAAAAACACTTAGAGAAAAATTATCTGTAGACTTAAAAAAAAGAGATTCAGGTACTCTTCTGAGAACGGTTAAACCTATAAGTTGATATGCCTAAAACTGGGTCTGGAAACACGAATGACGACAACACTACCAGAAGAGCATTTAAAAATAGTGAAGTTTTTTCTGAAATTACTAAAGTTGATTGTGATATAATTAAAAGATTGCATAATATTCTCATTGATACCATATCTTGTGGATATCCTATTAATATCAATGAATTAGATTTATACTGCACTAAAACAGCTAAACGCATAGTGAGTTTATACAACTGGTATGTTATGCCTCCTACTGTACATAAACTGCTACTGCATAGTTCTTCTATATCAAATAGATTACCTTTGCCAATCGGGGTATATTCGGAAGATGCACTAGAGAGTTTAAACAAACAGATAAGATATTCTAGACTTAAGCACACGGAAAAAATATCAAGGTTAAACACAAGATGAATCAGATGCACTACCTTCTAGTAAGATCAGATCCAAAAATATCATTCATATCTCTCTTACAACTGACATTCGGACAGCAAATAGTTCAAATGTTGCCTTCATAAGCATGACAGCACACTGGCTTAGTAATGAATTTTCCCAGCACAGAGCAGTACTCAGAGTTATGCATTTTCCAGAAAGTCACACAGGAAAAAACATAAGTGAGTATTTACATAAAGGTTGAGTAAGTTTTGAAATTCCACACACGAAAAGTCATACTGTTTTACTAAATAATGCGGCCAATTTGGTAGCTGGTGTAAGAAACAGTGGT